TATTTTTAATAAATTAATTGTGAATTTTTAATTTTTTAATAAAATTTTATTATAAAATAATATATTTATTTATCATTAATATTTATTTTTAAGATATATATTTGACCAAATTTTTTATCAAAAATAAATATTGAAAGCACTTGGCCCGTGTGACCTAGTGACTAGAGTCGCTGAAAAGTGCACATGCCTCTCCTCTGAATGGATTTCGAACCCGCTCATGACAAACTGTTAAAAAAAAAATGAATATTGAAAAAGACTTTGGACTTTTCAAGTCTAGATTAATTGTTGTATCGGTAGTCTCTTCAATATTGATGGCGCTTCTCATTCAACTATTCAATGTCTCAGTTCATATTATGACATGGCAAAACAGGATTACTTAGAATTTTGTTCTCTCTTTTCGTTTTTGCTTTTTCCGATGAATTTTCAATCCTTGCGGAGGTCACCGACAGAATGCTGTCTTGAAGTTCGCTACCCCTATCTGATTCACTCTTTTACCGTCATATAACAGTTTTTGTTACGAATTAAATTAAAAAAAATAAAATTTTAAGAACTAAATATCTAAATCTAATTAAATTTTAAATGGTAAATAAAGGATAATTAAAATTTTTTAATTATCTAATTAAAATAATAAACATAATATCAATATTAAAAATAAAATTAAGTTTTTTATTTTTATACTCTAAATTAATAAAAATATAATTAATATGTCCCTAATCTTTACTTTTAAGACAAGTATTAGATAAACTTTTAATTATAAAATTAGTGAGTATTTTTTTAAGGGGTGTAATTATTGTCATGGTAAAAAATGTTAAAGTTATTAAATTTTTAAAAAAAATTTCAATAGTATTTAGAAGTATTAATTTATTAATTGATTTTAATTTATTAATTAATAAATATTAATTATTTTATTAATTATTAATTAATAATCATATTTATTAATTATTTTTATCAATTAAACTAAAATAATTAATATTTTTAAAAATAATATTTTATAATTTTAATAGCGTTACATTCTTGTGGGTTGGTAAATCCGTGTCCTTTTCTAAGCTACAGCAAAGAAAACAATCATCTGGATTATAGACAAGAATTTTCCGTATTCCAAGCCGAAATTTGGACCTAGTTACTATTCATAATTTTTTGGATACTTGGGCATGAAGAATGATTAAATAATTCCATCCCATTGACAAGATCACAAGGTCTAGAAAAATAATACTCCTGCAAAACCCCAGATATGGAAAGCATATTTCGTTCCACTTTCCACCAAATTGCAGTTTCTTCTTTTATATATATATATATATATACTAACTTTTCTGTATTTAACTAGTTATGTTAAATTTTAATTAATTAAAAATTAAATTAAGTTAAA